GCTACTCCTTCTTTAGCTCTAACTCTATTTGAAACCCCTGACCTAATCCATTTATTCCTCTCCATTGAAACTCTCCCACCCCCTTCAGCTTTGTTTCACTTAAAGCCAGGACATCCAGTTACTTCTCATTCATAACATCCACAATCATCTCTCTCTTATCATTTGCACAACATCCACGCACATTCAGACTTCGCACTTTGACATTTTTCTTCTTATTCTTTTTAGTAATCTTTACAGGAAAAGGGGTTACTAGCCCATTGTTCCCGGCATTTTAGTTGACTTTTACAATACGCATGGCTTACGGAGGAAAGATTCTTATCCACTTCCATGGATATAAAAGGAAAGTAATAAGACCAAGAACTATTAAGATATAATCAAAGAAAACTCAGATGAGTGTGTATAAATAAACATGTATATGTATGTGTAGTGTGACCTAAGTGTAAGTAGAAGTAGCAAGACGTACCTGTAATCTTGCATATTTATGAGACAGACAAAGGACACCAGCAATCCTACCATCATGTAAAACAATTACAGGCTTTCGTTTTACGCTCACTTGGCAGGACGGTAGTACCTCCCTGGGTGGTTGCTGTCTACCAACCTACTACTACTACTACTTGTACATGCATGTACAAGCATATATATACACACACCCCTCTGGGTTTTCTTCTATTTTCTTTCTAGTTCTTGTTCTTGTCTATTTCCTCTTATCTCCATGGGGAAGTGGAATAGAATTCTTCCTCCGTAAGCCATGCGTGTCGTAAGAGGCGACTAAAATGCTGGGAGCAAGGGACTAGTAACCCCTTCTCCCGTATATATTTTTAAAAGATGAAACTTTCGTTATTCCTTTTGGACCACCCCGCCTCAGTGGGATACGGCTGGTACATTGAGAGAAGAAGAAAACGTGCAAGATTTCAGGTATGTCTTGCTACTTCTACTTACATTTAGGTCACACTACACATACATGTACAAGCATATACAGGTCTCCCTCAACATTCACGTTTTCAGCTTTCGCGGGCTTCACACATTCGCGAATTCCCAACCGCCAAATTCCCAGCTGCCAAATCATATTTAAGTTTCCCGCCACCTGCGAGTCCCTACTACCCTCCCTCCGACCCCTGCACCTGGCAGCCAGCCCTCCCACCACTCGGTGTGGTGAGTGTTTTGTTTGTTCATTATTTGCTATTAAACTACAGTATAAATAATGTAAACCCATTCATGACTGCATATTGGAATAACTATTCGGACAGGTATTAGATGGTGACATCATGTGTTTACTCTTGAACTCAGCAAAGAATCAAACATTTCTGCTACTGCTAATAATAACAATAGTGATAATAATAATAATAAATACGATATAATTGAAGAAGGAAGTTGTACAAAAATACGAGGGAGTGGTTGACACATCGTCAGTATGGCTTTGTTTATGCTGGAGTGAACATTAGCCTCCCTGCTCTTCCAAACATTTCACAATAATTCATTGTGTTTGGTGCTTGTAGATTGAGTTTGACTCGAGCGGTAGAGGGAGCGGTAGAGGGAGCGGTAGAGGGAGCGGTAGAGGGAGCGGTAGAGGGAGCGGTAGAGGGAGCGGTAGAGGGCAGCGGTAGAGGCAGCGGTTGAGGCAGCGGGTGAGGCTGCTGTTGAGGCAGCAATTGAGGCAGTGGGTGAAGCAGCTGTTGAGGCAGCGATTGAGGCAGCTGTTGAGGCAGCGATTGAGGCAGTGGGTGAGGCAGCGATTGAGGCAGTGGGTGAGGCAGCGATTGAGGCAGTGGGTGAGGCAGCGGTTGAGGCAGCGGTTGAGGCAGCTGTTGAGGCAGCGATTGAGGCAGCGATTGAGGCAGCGATTGAGGCAGCGATTGAGGCAGTGGGTGAGGCAGCGATTGAGGCAGCGATTGAGGCAGCGATTGAGGCAGCGATTGAGGCAGTGGTTGAGGCAGTGGTTGAGGCAGCTGTTGAGGCAGTGGGTGAGGCAGCGATTGAGGCAGCGATTGAGGCGGCGATTGATGGCAGCGATTGAGGCAGCGATTGAGGCAGCGATTGAGGCAGGGTTGAGGCAGCTGTTGAGCAGTGGGTTGAGGTTGGATTGAGGCAATGGTTGAGGCAGCTTTTGAGGCGTGGTATTAATAACATACTTTATTAAAAAAAATTTTTTTTTTTTTTCTCAACAAGTCGGTGTTCCCCCAAAGGGGCAGGGTGAACCCAAAAAAGAAAGAAATCCCCAAAGAAAATCTTTCATCATCATTTAACACTTTCACCACACTCACACATTATCACTGTTTTTGCAGAGGTGCTCAGAATACAACAGTTTAGAAGCATATACGTATAAAGATACACAACATATCCCTCCAAACTGCCAGTATCCCAAACCCCTCCTTTAAAGTGCAGGCATTGTACTTTTATTATTTATAACATATATGTTATTAAATACCACTGCCTCAACCGCTGAATTATTGTGAAATGTTTGGACGAGCACGGAGACTAATGCTCAATCTAGCATAAACAAAGCCACACTGACGATGTGTCCACCACTCTTTCGTATTTTTGTACAATTTCCTTCTTCAATTATATTGTATTATTATTATTATTATTATTATTATTGTTATTATTAGCAGTAGCAGAAATGTTTGATTCTTTGCTGTGTTCAATAGTAAACACATGATGTCACAATCCAATACCTGTCCGAATAGCCACTCCAATATGCAGTCATGAATGGGTTTACATTATTTATACTGTAGTTTAATAGCAAATAATGAACAAATAAAACACTCACCACACTGAGTGGTGGGAGGGCTGGCTGCCAGTTGCGGGGGTCGGAGGGAGGGTAGTAGGGACTCGCAGTGGTTGAGACATTGGTGGAGGCAGTGGTGGAGTCTGTGGTAGAGTCTGTGGTATTTAATAACATACATGTTATTAAAGCATAACATGTATATATTTAGTACAGTTTATGACGTTTTCATGTATTTTATGATTGTTCATGGTTCAACAAGTTAAGGAAGCAGTATTGTATTATATTTCCCTACAATATATTGGGTCACCAAACATTCACGGTTTTTCAACATTCGCGAGGCTCTTGATCCCCTAACCCTCGCGAATGTTAAGAGAGATCTGTATATACACACCCCTCTGGGTTTTCTTCTATTTTCTTTCTAGTTCTTGTTCTTGTTTATTCCCTCGTATCTCCACGGGGAAGTGGAACAGAATTCTTCCTCCATAAGCCATGCGTGTTGTAAGAGGTGACTAAAATGCTGGGAGCAAGGGCCTAGTAACACCTTTTCCTGTATAAATTACTAAATTTATAAAGAGAAACTTTGGTTTTTCTTTTTGGGCCACCCTGCCTCGGTGGGATACAGCTGGTTTGTTGGAAAAAAAAAAAAAAGTTTACCGAGTATACTACCTGGTAAAGTGTACGGTAGGGTTATTATTGAAAGAATTAGAGGCAAGACAGAGAGTAGGATTACACACGAGCAAGGCGGCTTTAGAGTGGGTAGCGGATGTGTAGATCAAGTGTTTACATTGAAGCTTATATGTGAACAGTATTTAGATAAAGGTAATGAAGCTTTCGTTGCATTTATGGATTTAGAAAAGGCATATGATAGTGGATAGGGGAGCAATGTGGCAGATGTTGCAGGTGTGTGGAATAGGTAGTAAGCTACTAAATGCTGTAGTTTTTATGAGAATAGTGAGGCTCAGGTTAAGGTGTGAAGTAGAGAGGGAGATTACTTCCCAGTAAAAGTAGGTCTTAGACAGGGATGTGTAATGTCACCATGGTTGTTTAATATATTTATAGATGGGGTTGTAAAAGAAATAAATGCTAGGGTGTTGGGGAGAAAGGTGGGATTAAATTATGGGGAATCAAATACGAAATGGTAGTCGACAGTTACTTTTTGCTGATGATACTGTGCTTATGGGAGATTCTAAAGAAAAGTTGAAAAGGTTAGTGGATGAGTTTGGGAGGGTGTGTAAAGGTAGAAAGTTGAGAGTGAACATAGACAAGAGTAAGGTGATGAGGGTATCACATTGGAGAGAGGTAGTATGGAAGAAGTGAATGTTTTCAGATATTTGGGAGTTGAATTGTCAGCAGATGGATTTGTGAAGAATGGGGTTAACCATATAATTGATGAAGGAAAAAAGGCGAGTGGTGCATTGAGGTATCTGTGGAGACAAAAAACGCTATCCATGGATGCAAAGAAGGGAATATATGAAAGTATAGTGGTACCAACACTCTTATATGGGTGTGAAGCTTGGGTTGTAAATGCTGCAGTGAGGAAGTGGCTGGAGGCAGTGGAGATGTCCTGTCTAAGGGCAGTGTGTGGCATAAATATTATGCAGATAATTTGGAGTGTGGAAATTAGGTGGTGGTGTGGAGTTACTGAAAGTATTAGTCAGAGAGGTGAAGAGAGGTTGTTAAGGTGGTTTGGTTATTTAGAGAGAATGGAACAAAGTAGAATGACTTGGAAAGCACATAAATCTGTAGAGGAAGGAAGGAGGGGTAGGGGTCATCCTTGAAAAGGTTGGAGGGAGGGAGTAAAGAAGGTTTTGTGGGCAAGGGGCTTGGACTTTCAGCAAGCATGCGTGATTGTTTTAGATAGGAGTGAATGGAGACGAATGTTTTTTGGGACCTGAATAGCTGTTGGAGTGTGAACAAGGTAATATTTTGTGAAGGGATTCAGGGAAACTGGTTAGGTGGACTTGAGTCCTGGAAATGGGAAGTACAGTGCCTGCACTTTAAAGGCGGGGTTTGGGATATTGGCAGTTTGGAAAGACTTCTATACTGTTGTATCTGAGCACCTCTGCAAAGACAGTGATTATGTATGAGTGATGTTGAAAGTGTTGAATGATGATGAATGTATTTTCTTTTTGGGTTTTTTCTTTCTTGGGTTTTTCTTTCTTTTTGGGTTTTTCTTTTTGGGTCACCCTGCTTCGGTGGGAAATGGCCAACGTAAAAAAAGTAAATTATAATTTTGTGTGTATGGGTTTTATTTATAATTCAATTTTTTTCTCAGCCTTTAGCCTTAATAGCTTGGGGCTGCAGCCTGGAAATGTCTACTGTTGATGAGAAGGAAGTTAAGACTTTCATAAAGAAGTATGGACTCCATGGACCTGAAGGAAACTACACCAAAGATGGAGGCTATAAGGAAGGGCTCATTAGAAAAGCCAAATATCCTCCAGGATCAGGAGAAAAGGACTCTAATCTTTGTCCATCGTAAATCTTCTGCATCTGAAATGTCGGTTTCCAACCTTAATCTTACTCATTACTAGATTTCATGCTGCTTTGCATTTAAATTGCAAATCACAAAATTACTGTCTTGATTTTAAAAAAATCTTAAGTATTGCAGTAATTTAACATTCTGGCACGTTGATTTCATGTTTGTAATATTTTTGTGTTAGAGTATAATAGTAAAAATTTCCCCTTTTTATTGAAATTTTGAAAAATATCAATTAATGGTTCTTTAAGAAGCAGATTTTGGGAAATGCTCATTGGTTAGTTTAGTTTTTATTAAATGATGTTTAATGATATGTATATCAGAGGCCCTGTTGAGGGTGAGCATTGATGTGACAACAAGCATAGAGATGAAATCTTGATGAGATGTGTCTTGAGTTGAAAAGAAAGTGCCAGAGTTTCACCAACATCTAGGTGAAATGATGGGAAATTGAGGGCTTATTGATAGGCAGGTCATAGCCTTGGCAAGTGTGCAGGGAACTTGTCTGGTGTATGAAGAGGTGATCAGTGTAATCTCATGGAGGAGGCAGGTTCTCAGGTTTTCATTGCTGTTCTTTTGGCATAGTGGGCTAGATGGCAATGGTTGGGAACCATTTTAGTTTTGAGAAGGTCTTGGTGTCCAAGAGACCTCATATGATTACATAATCACTGTGCAGTACTTTGCTTATAAGTTGTGCAACACATGTTCTGTTTTGCTAGTATTTACCCTGTTCAAAAAATGAATTGTTCAATTTCAGAGTTTTGCACAGACTTGTATTAATTGGTGAACTGTAATATATAGTACTCTAGCTGATTATTGAATGAACATGTCCGCTTCGTCATTGCCAGTTATTACTTCAACAGGTGGGCCAGCAACTTCTGCTGCTGGAGGTTGATTGCAGGTGTTGGGGTTACTTGAATGCTGAGCTGAAACTTAGCAGTTTTGATTGCAAGTTCTTCAGGGGACTGGATATTTTCTGGGATCATCATCTTGGGGAGGTTGAATAAGTGGAACATTGACTAATTTTTATGTTGAAAGTTACTGTGTAAATTTCATTTTTCAGCTGGGCATTGACTAGGCATGTTTGTATCCTGCGTAGTGTGCTACCTTTGGAACATTGGTGCTGGGTCACTTTACATAGACCAAGCATGTTTGTATCCCTAGTGGTGTGCTATCTTGAAACACATTCTGGGTCAGTTGCAGTCAGTGTTGGCATGTAGATTAGCTGTTGGGTGACTTGTTGGATTTTGTCTGCCTGAACTTGAGTTGTACCTTTATAGGTGATGGTCTTAGTGTTAAGTTTTTTCTATTTTTATTATTGATTACCCCCCTTTCTCAAGGGACTCTAGTATCTAGGTTGTGATGATCATCCCTTACAGTTGAGGTATTGTGGTGATCCTGAAGGTGTAGCCTTTCTTGGCACACTCGAGGCAAAACTTTTTGTTTTTCAAAGGACAGTCTTTTATAGTGATTGTGGTCATAGCAGTTCTGGCTAGGAGTTGTATGATGGTACTGGTTTTATTCAGTGTCCTGTGGATTGATGTGGTAACATGAGATCTTTAAACCATTTTGTATGACTCATTTTATCATTGATACTCTTTCAGGTCTAACCTTGATCATTTAGGCAATGTTGGGTAGTATGGTGATTTCACTGATTTTTGGCCCATGACTTCAGTCTCATGTTTATGGTAACTTGTTGATATTTTGGTGAGCTCTCAGCCCAGTGTTTTGATGAATACTGATCTCCTGGGTATCAGGGTGAGATGTAGAGCTACTTTCATGTCTTCATCTTTTAGCAAGCTCACTGCTGAAGTTGGTATAATTTTGTCAGCATTTGAAGGACTCCTTTGTTCCTATCAGGTTTGAGAATTTGATGCGTAGATTAATCTGTTGGTGCTTATTCAGTTAGGTCAGCTGTACTGCCTCTGGACCCTGATGGGTTTAGCACGTTGTTGTAATTCAAAAAATAATAATGTACTGCCTGTGAGAGACTGCTCTTGACACAGTGGGTGATTCCATCCCGCATGGAGATTCGAGAAGAGCCAGTTCAGTTTTTTCATATATAGTGGTACCTTGACTTATGAATATAATTCGTTACGTGACCCAGCTCATAACTCAATTTGCTCGTATATCAAGTCAATTTTCCTCAATGAAATTAATTGAAATGCCGTTAATCTATTCCAGCCCCCAAAAGACCACCCCAATTTTTTTGTTACAGGTTTTTAAATAAAAAAAAGTGTGTATAAATAACAAATGATTTTTCCTTTTTTGTCGATAGAGACAGCCAGAGCAGATCAGCCAGCCAGCCAGCTGGCCTGCTGAACGTGCATTACACATGTTCCAGAATTATTTCTCTTAGGGCATACGTTATAGAACATTCTGGCAGGATGACACTACCAGTGGTATCAAAATTGGAAGGCTGTTACACATTGGTTATTATGAGGTTTTTGATATTTCCTCTCTCCTGCAAGTGGCGGCGTATCTGAAGCTTGCTCGTGACTCGTATTTTGGCTTGCAACTCAAAGCAAAAAATCGACTGAGTGATGGCTTGTAACTCGGAAAACTTGTAAGTTGGGGCACTTGTAAGTCAAGGTACCACTGTACACATTGAAAGCTGTGATTTAATAAAAAAATTAAAGTTTTGAAACAAAGTACAGCACATGTAATTTAGATAAGGATTTATGTTTTGTAATAAATAACTATTAAATTATTACCTGAAGAGAATCTCTTCCATATTTGTTAATACTGAATTATAAATTTATTAATATATTTTCAGTCAGACTGTATTCTCGTAATTCGCATTATAGAGTATACATGTATATATATATATGCATATATATTAATATCTGTGATAATGTTTATATGAATATTATTTTGAATAGTTAGAGTAATGATTTTTAGATCTGACATTTGGACCAAGGCCTGATAAGTTTGGGTTATCACCTTAGTTCACTGCCATAAACATACAGCGCTTGTAAGTTTTTTCAGACATTTGCTTTATTTTGATAGTTTTACATTGTATTAAAATAGAAAATATTGAACTTCATTAGAAAAAGTTTATTTTGTCAGTTTTAAGCAATTTTTATAATTGTTTAATTATTATTAATACAGTCTGCAACATCTGGCCTGGCTTCAGCAACAATGCTAGGTGGTATGTTAACGCATCAGATTGACAAGCCAGTGTTACCAGCAATTTAGCAGGGAAGTGTTAGTTTAGTAAACTGCCAAATGGAAACTAACTGTACAGTACTGTGATGAACAATACACAAATAACGTGGCACATAGAACAGTGAAACTTATGATGTAGTTTCGGTCTGACTTAGATCATTAACTAGTCACACCAAGTTGGACCGAAACATCATAAGTTTCATTCCCCTACGTGTACATTATTTGTGTATTCTCATTTCGTACTGAGAGAGAAAATCGAAATATGGCTCCTGTTTGTACAGCTTGGCACAACTTGGCCAACAGCCTGAAGTTGTGGATAGGTCTTGAATTTCGTTTCAAAGATGAAGCAGATACTGAGATACGAGAGATTAATGAGAGCACCACCATTCTCATTCTTGAGATGTAGCAGCGTCTTTGTTCTCATCCTTGAGATGTGCTATCAAGAAGATAGAATTCCTGCTTCAGGTTTCTGCCACTTGTAACAAACTAAAGAATTTCTTGATCACACATGATGACAGTTTGTTATTCAGTTTTATAAGTTTTTGGTAAAGCCTAGTCCCAATATCCTCAAGAAATTATCATCTGAAAGTTTTCATGAGTGTCAATGTTTCTCTTATCTGGGCTGTGCAATTTTACCAAATGGCATGTAATGCTGTCCCCAGCTTAATTCAAAGGAAAGGCAAAGTCTTATTCTTGCATTGATGTATATTAGGTCCAGCAGCAACACTTGTACAATATGCAGAGCAAGAATGACTATGTAGTGAAATCCACACCAGAGGATTAAGGCCTGACTTGAATTACTTCATCAGCCTACTTTGCTGGACACTGTTTCACAAAAAGTAAGGTATTAAGTCCAGCTGCGCAACTCCCTTTAGAACTACACACATGGGATACACTGGCACTTGACAGCCCAAATAAAGGTACTGTATGTTATGTACTTTGGCTAAAAGCTGCTCTAATTTTAAGAGGTAGTGATAGCAACACCCACATCCTGTCTTAATATTTTAACACTCCTTTATTTCTTATGAATCAAAAATTGCAGTACTGTACTGTGTGGATAGAGCATTTCACAACTTGCAGTTTTATTATTTTCTATGAGGCTCCAGCACGTCTTCATCTCCATTTCCAGTTAGTGGGTTGTAAATTCGTAACTTATGGTTTACTTTGTCTCTAATTGGCTGTATTACACTTCTCTACATAGTTTTCCTTAGCAAAATTCTGCTGAAATTCTTAGAATCCACCTTCCTGCAGCTACCTTTGCAATAATAGTATGAAATATTTCTGAAATGGCCATAATGCAGAGATTGTTGGAGGGATTTAGAAGGGTGTGTTGAAAGTTAGAAGTGGGCATAGAAAAGAGTAGTGAAAGATTGGATGTCATACTGGAGGAAGTACAGAAGAAGTGATTGTATTGTATTTAGATATTAGGGTGAATTTTGGCAAATGGGTGCATGAAAGATGTGGTCATTTATGCAATAGATAAAAAAAAGGAGAGACTAGAGTGTTGAGATCTGGTAAAAAAAAAATAATTTGTTATTGGATGTTAAAAAAAAGAAGTTGATGTGTCACGGGTTGGTGGTACCAACACATTTTGGAAGGTGAATGGCATGGTACTGCTGTCACGTAGTAGGTGAAGGCATGTTTAAGGTCATTGCAGAGAGAATATAGTACAGGAAATAGAGTGAAGAAATTTTAAGACAGTGGGGGTTGAATAAAAGATAATTCATGGAGCAAAAAAAGATTTGTGGAGATGGTGTGGTCATTTAGTATTATAATTATGAGATGGAAGGTATTCAGGCTCAATTCAGGGATCCGGAGCACAGATCCAATTCCCTAGAGCAAGAGCCCTTCACCAGCGTCAAGGAACCTCCCTTGAGGTGGGTCATTTAGTAGAAAGGTTGGAGCAAGGTAGGCTAACCAAGAGGGTGTATAACCCTGATGTGGATGAAGGGAGGTGTTGGGGTTGGGGCAGAGGAATGATGTGAAAGTTGTTTTGTGGTGTCCAATTGTGTGGATGCCTCCACTTGCAAACCAGTTGACTACCCTGTGTGTTCATCTTCACTACATTGCATTATTTTGCATTTGTGCTAATCTACCATGGTTGTGAAGTATTAGAGTTCAACACTTTTTCCCAGAAAACTGTATACAAAACTGAGTGGTTGGTTACCCGAAGGTTGGGCTCTGACAAGTTTTACTGTATGCAGGTATAGTACAGGTATTTGTTTTATATATATATACTGTATATACATATATATTTTATATATGAATAGGCTATATGTAGGTAGATCTTAATTCTTCCTGGGCTTTTAAGTGATATGTTATTGAAAATGTTTTTAATTTAAAATTTCTAAGAGAGGTTTTGATAGTATATTCCTTACGTGCACATTATTTTATGGAAGACAAAGAATTTAACTAGAGTTTTTCCTAAAATGTTCACCATTTTGAGGAAATTGTTGGTCTGATTTTAATTTAATTTTTTTGCATAAACATTTAGTGTGAGGGGCACCAAATATATGCCCTCACACTAAAATTAATGCTTTATCAGAAAATTGCAAGATTGTTTTTAATATTTAATTTGTTATATGAAGTTAGCCTTTCAGACCTTGGTTCTAAGATCCTTCCTACTCCTATTCTTCATAAGGTATTTAGTACTAGGGATTATACCTTTAATGTGTAAGAACTGATGTGGGTAATCAGAGAAAGAAGAATTTTGAAATATACACAAGAGAATTTTGAGTTTCCTTGTATGTATCGCTGTATAGCCCTTGTGGCTTAGCGCTTCTTTTTTTATTATAATAATAATCCTTGTATGTAAAGGAATGATACTGAAACTTTGGAAAATATTTGTATGAAGGTACGTATAGATGTATAGATACCTGGACACATCTTTGAGTGGCCATCCAAATGCCTTTAAATAGTACATTGAGGGCAATATTAAGAAACAGACTGATGCCATTTATGTAAAGTTTAACCAATGATACATGGGATATGTAGAATGTTTGTGTTTCTAGTATCTGAGTAGCTTGTATCTAAGCCAAAAAATGGAAATGGTGGACAAAAATTATATGAAAGTCTTATCTCTTCAGATACTAAAAATACCCATTTGTAACATATTTATGCACGACTAGAATTGTGTTGCTTTAAAGAGAAATATATTAATGGCAAGATAGATTCAGCAAAAAAAAAAAAAATAGTATTGATTTTGTTTGGATACTGTATTTTGTAGTACACAATCGAATCATTATTGATCAGATTTATTAATGAAATATAATGTAATAACTAACTTTTACCTTAATTGAGACTGAATATGTAGATCCTGTTCTGTCTCCCTGGCAAACAGTGATGGAATGAATGATGAAAGTGTTTCTTCTTTTTTTGAGTTACCCTGCCTGGGTGGGAAATGGCCCAATGTGTTAATTAACAACTGACAGTATCACTGTAAAAACTGTATGGATATAGAGCTGTGGATTCTTCATTATTGCATATGATGTATTGAAATCTGGAATATATAGTATTAGCACTGCTGTCAGACAGTTTAAAAGGAAGTTTGTTTCTATTTTGCTTTGTATAAATTATTAAAAATGCCATTTACTTATAAGTTTTTTATGTGTTCTACTGCGGTTGCATTCTTTATAGTTTTTTGCAGCTACTTCATTCATAAATATGTTTAAAACTGCTAATTAGAATTACTGTTTAGTGGATCCCCTCCAGTGAGAGGCCTTGATGCCTGAGAAGGGCTCTTGGTACAAGAAATTGGACTTACCCTTTCCTTGGATCGAATCTGATTGCTTCCCAATCCATATGCTATATGACTGAGTTTCATCTCTTCCCCCCTATTATATTGATATACATTGAATCAATTTTTACAAAGGGCATGCATGCCTGGAAAATATGCCAAGCCTGTTAATGCAGATCAAAGAGAAAATAGGGTTGCATTCCAGGCACATCTGACCCTCTCAGGTTTAGCACTTCATTTATTATCATCATCATCCAGACACCTCTCAGTAGTATAGTATTTTCCTTTTTCATCTCGTTTAAAATCATATGGAGGAGACGGTGCTTGGTGAAGGTAGAGTAATTTTCATACTTTCAAAGAATTTCTCACTTTTGATAATATGCTTTAGCATATTTTATTTTATTAAAAAGGCTTTAGCATTTAGTGAACCTGAATGAGTCGCAGATCTTTTAATTTTGGCTGCATTCATATTTTCTGCTTATACAGTATTCATTAACATGAGATGCAGCCGAGAGGCTGCAAGCATTCCATTCCATTCGTTTAAGACGATTATGGGAAAGAAAATTTAAAAAATTACATTTGAGAGCATTTTGAGGTGCTATGGTTAAATATCCAGGAAGTTTTTAAGCACTACAGAAACTTGAGGAATACAATTATGATATTCATAGGATAAATATTAAACCCACTGGAGTTGTATAATCCCTGGAGAATGAAACATTATCAGTTTTGATACAATGAGTTTTTTTTTTTTTTAATAAGGAGTCCAACTCCAAGTTACCTCCTTCAAGGGTCGTCCAATTTCAAATGCCCCCAAATTTTGGTTGCTAAGTATTTTGGGCAACCTCAGTGATGTTGTCGTCAGAGTGATGAACTTGAGGCAGTAACCTGGTGTGGAAAAAGGCACTTAAGTACACAGGTCTTTTTCCACATCTTGTTGGTATCACAATACCATATTTCAGTAACCTGGTAGACACAGGTCTGTAAACTCTTGATGCATATTTAGGCCAAGCTTATGTATTGATGGTAATTGGGGTTTTTACTGTGTGCATGATAATTTTGAAGTTTGTTATGTCATTTTATCAAAGATAATTAGTTAGGATCTACTTTGGATTTTCATCATTTTGTAACATTAAATATTTAACATTTTAAGTGGGAGATATTACCAAAACAATTTTTTTTGGCTTTATGAAAATGTTTTTTGTATACAAAGATATATTCTCACTCTGTAAGCAGTTGCATGTAATATTAGTTATTCAGGTGTTATTTTGAAATAATGTTCAGGTTTAGAGCTTGTTTTGATTATATGGACCAGATATTAAATTAATGCTAAATGATATTATTACAATCAATCTATAAGCTCTTGTGTGCAACAGCTATTGCTAACATGTGCATTTATCTCTTGGTGTAATTTCCCTGATATATCTTTATAAGTTTATATTCTATTGAGATACTATCATCATTAGTAAATGAATACTACATTTCTAGTATTTTATATACTGTTAGTACATCTATATTGCTAGATATTTGTCACTGCTTGATTTTTGATTGAAAGGTTTTATTCGAGGGTTATAATTTTTCAAAAGCGTGTGGATGGTAATAGGATTGGGAAAGGATTTAAAAAAAAAAATTACATTTCATATATAATTTTCCAATTTATAGAGCATGTTATGATGTATGCATCTGTTATATATATAACAGGGTTAGATTTATAATTGTATTGATATGAGCAAGCATTGTTAATTCTGAAAATAGTCATTAAATTTTCTATTTATCTAAAATTTGAAATGGCTATCACAAGAAAGTACCTGTATGAGTTGTCATTGGGACTATGCAATATGGTTTTGAAGAGTTATTTGTCTTGCCCAGGTGGGACATAGTAATTTAATGATTGTTGAAATCTATATAATATAATTACCCTATATCACCTGGGCTGGCATACTATTCATCAATGTTGATATCAATTTTTTTTGCACATTAATGCTGAATGATACGACCATAAAAGTTTGATGGTTTTTTCAAAAGTAGAATAATAAAAAATGTACGGGATCATTCAGGCATTAATGCGTGCAATAATTATTTTACTCACTTAGTTGACTTTGACTCTTCCAAACAACTTTTTCTGTGTGTGTTGTGTGTTGTGTGTGTGTGTGTGTGGTGTGTGTGTGTGTGTGTGTGTGTGTTGTGTGTCGTGTGTTGTTGTTCACCATAAAAAATATTTATTCTTTTGTTAAATGTTACTTTAATAAGGTATTTCCAGAATCAAGTATTTCATAGGCATAAAATACCAAAGGCCAAATGGAGTAAGAAGGTTCAACTGTTAGGTTTCTTTTTTGTAGTTTAGAAAGACACGTAAGCAAACTATGAAACATTTATTAGAAATAACGTTTCGGTCCTGGGACCTTGATTCACTTCTAACATACGAGTAGAAAGGCCATGATATATAGGTGGAGAGTGAGGTGTGAAGCACGTGACCTGAGGAATGTCTAAAACAAGAAACATATGTTTTATGTTCTTATGACATTCCTCAGGTTCAGTGCGGTTATACCTCACTCCTCCACCTATATAGTATGCCTTCTATACCTCTTTATCGTTAGATGTGATCAGGTTCCTGGACGAAACGGTTTTCTAATAATATGTCAGTGTTTGCTTACGTGTACTTTCTAAACTAACTTGTCTGGTAATTTATTACCAAAGGTTTATACCTTCTTTATTGATGAAGTGCTTTGCCAGTCTGTAGGCTTCGTTGAATACAGGTGTGACTAAAATATTGGAGACAGGAGCAGCAGTGGCTAGGTAAAGTATGTGTTCTGATCCCTCAGCATTGTTCATTAAGATTATGGAGCTCTCGAAACACTTCATAGGTTTGAGGAAAACTGAAAAAAACAATCCTTCACTGCTTTTTACGTCGCAATATGAATTTCTTGTATTGGAGAAGTTACCAAAGCAAGCAGAATGTTTCTACAATAGATTCCAAAACTGGTGCAATTGTACTTTAATAAGGAGATATGTTGCCCTTGACAATGAGGAGTTAATCATCCTCTCAGATCAATTAATCAAGTCTTATGATCCTTTGGGGCTAATCAATTGTCAACTTAGCCTATCTTTAAAAGTACAAATATTAATAAGACGGTGTATAAATTGGCCATTGTAATCAGTTTGATATCTACCTTAGCTTAAAAAACTGTTTGAATTTTTTATGGCAGCTGTGGAGACCTCAAAGGTTGGAAGTATTTCAATAGAGTATTTTGATTAAGAACCTGTGAGGCTTGTAAGCTTAGTAAGATGTAAACAAGTTGTGCATATTTTTCTCTCTTGTTCTAGGTGGTGATGTATATTGCACTTTTTTCTGGTAACTTGTGAACTGTATCTTGTGTATAAACATTGTGCATGTTTATCACATTCACTTATACTGGTTTGTATATATAATGGTATATATAAATGTATCTTCTGTAAAGATGAGGGAAATTTTTTGTTCAGTAGACTGCCTTTCAAAAACTGCATTAGCTATAGCTTACACAAAAAATGAGTATTTTTTTTTTTTCCTTTTGAAGGCTGACATTACTACCTTTGCTGCACTGGCGTGTTTATAGCACCATACTGTTTAGCCCTTCTCAATTTGCACCACCCATTTGGGCACTAGCTTAGTCTTTTTTTTTTTTGTCTTTGCAAAATCATTACGCATTAGAATTTTGTATTTACAGTAGTGGGTTGCAATGCCAAAGCCCTCTTTTATGCCTAGGCATTATAAGTTAGAGTGCTTTAATTAAAGCACAAGACATTTTTTTTAGTACATGTATGGTGTGCACTGTTTGTTTCAAGTTGCCTGCATGCTGTATAACCCTGGTTTGTTTAGCACATTCATTTTGATTTTCATCCATTCAGGAATATTGTTATAATGTAAACAAAGCTTAACCAATCAGGTTGTTTTACACAGGAAAAGTGTCATACTAGTGTCTTCTTTGGAAAATAAGGTTTGCTGGCGGCAACGTAGGTG